GGAGGATTTGAGGGGTGGGGAAGAGGGTTTGGGGCGTGGGGAGGAGGGTTTGAGGGGCGGACGTTGTTTCCTTTGAAAAGTGTTGAAGAGGGGCGGACGCCTGGGCTGTTTGTGGATTGTGTGTGTGCAGGTGAAGCTGTTGATGGCGCTGGCGAAGCAAATCTTGCAGTCGGACTTCACTGATGACGGTCCTCACGACAAGGACCCCGACAAGGGGTCGAGGCACTGGCTGTGCAACTATTGCGAGACTCGGTTCGCCGGCACGAAGTCGGTCCTCAAGAAGCACTTCATGACAAAGTGCAGTATTGAGCTTGTCACTCGGGCAATGACAGCGGAGGAGAGGATGATGAGAATTGAGGGCATCCGGCTAGGGAAGCACCAGGCCTGTCAGCTCGCAGGTGTAATTGGTGGAAGCGGTGGTCCGAGCACAGGACTGTCTTCCAGTAGTTTCGTGCCTCCATCATCACCAACATAGAGGCCAAGTGATGGTGAGACGCCCTCGCCTGCAAGATCTGCGACATGCTTCCCCCTGCCCCTGGAAGTGGTGGACGGTCGGTAAGGCAAACTTTGCTCGAGGAGGCGGACAATATCGTCACCTAGAACGAGCAGACGAGTCGAAAGATGGATCGGTGGCTGATTTGCACGAATCAGCCATTCAACATGGTGGACAACTTCTACTTCCTCGAATTCCTCGATGTTGTGAAGAAGTGCCATACTAGTTGGTGGCCTTGCAAGAGGGACGAGATGAGGACAAAAAGGTTGGACGGGCAGTTCAAGTTGGTGGGGGAAGACACGCGGTCACTAGTCAAGAGGTGGGAGAGAACAGGGTGCATGCTCTAGATGGACGGGTGGTCGAACCGGAGGAACAAACCGCACTTGAACGTCATGGTGTCTTCCCCAGTCGGAACTGTGTTTTGGAAGTCGGTTTGCATGGAGGGGAGGGAGAAGGATTCGAAAACGTACTTCAAGATGTTGGACGAGGTGATCCAAGAGATCGGTGCGGGGTCCATTGTCGGTGTTGTGATGGACAATGTGAGGGTTTGCGCTAAAGCGGGGAAGATGATGAAGGCCAAGTACCCTGGTATTTTTAGTGTGGGCTGCACAACCCATGCCTTGGATCTGGCCCTGGAGGACATGTACAAGTGCATGGACTGGCTGAAAGCAGTCGTCGACAAGGGAAATCAAGTTGGCAAGTTTTTCACCAAAGTCGACAAGGTTCGCGCAATGTACAACGATTGCGAATGCGCAACTCAAACGCCCGGTGGTCACAAGATTCGTGACAAACTTTGAGATGCTTCAGTCGCTGAAGACGGGGAGGAATCCATTGGAGCTCTATGTCTGCAATGCGGCGTGGGTGGAGAAGTTGGTGAGCGGGAAGCAAGTGGCGACATTCAACGCCGTCACCCACATCATCATGGACACGAATGGATTCTAGAAGGATGTGCATAAGGCCATGACAGTGATGGAGCCAGTTGTCAAGCTCCTTCGTTTGGTGGACGGTCCAGAAGCAGCTATGAGCAAAGTCTATTTTGGCATGGACGCGTTTGTGGCTAAAATGCGCACGTTGGACTGCCTGTCGGAGGCTGAGAAGGCGGATGCGGAGAAGATTTTGATGGACCGGTGGGCCTTAATGACATCAAAGCTGCATTGCGCGGCCGCCTTCCTAGATCCCGAGTACAGGACGCACACCGTGCGAGACACGAAGATTCGCGAGGGGTTCAACATCTGACTTTACTCTTGGGCGCCGCCGGAGTTGCTGCAGCGAGATATCAGTGGACAGGTGGACATGTGGATGCAGGGATTGGGCACTTTTGGGACACTGAACGCAAGGGATCAGGCGAGTTCGAAGACTCCGGCGCTATGGTGGGAGGCGTTCGAGGGGTTCCTGGACCTCCTCAAACAGCAAACAATCAAACTCCTTGGGCAGGCGAGCTCGTCAGCTACGTGTGGGTGAAATTGGAGCTTGCACCAACTCATTTACGGCCAACGCCGCACGAAACTCTTGCCGAAGAGATTGAGCAAGCTGGTGTATAGCAATTGGAATACCCAATTGTCGATGTGGAGAGAGCGAGGGGACGGGGAAGACATACACATTTCGTGGAAGGACGACGAGCTGGCGAGCATGGAAGTGGATGAGTGCTACGACCAATGGGCTGCACAGGTTAGATGCTGCTGCAGCGGAGGTCCGCGTAGACGAATTCAACGATGCCCCGCTAGAGCACACATGGCTGCAGAACAATGAGGAGGAGAACTTTGCGGATGATGAGGACGATATCGCCGCACTGGAAAGAACATGGCATGCAAACACGAAGCCCGGGAAGCACCGAGTGCGGGAGTTGCGCAGGAAGTCGGGTGTTGAAGAGCCTGATCCTGGGTTCATGTATACCTTGGAGGGCCATGACCGTGCCTTGAAGGCGTGTCAAACCAGCGATTGGGTGCAGGGGAGGGAGGCGGCATCGGGTCGCGGGCGTCGCAAGAACAAGGCAACGGCATCAGACGTTGCCCCAGAACAGCCAGTTCACAAACGAAAGAGGAAGGTTGGGGAGGGGGATGTACCACCAAAAAAGAAGAGAGGCCGACCTCCGCTTTCGTCCGCGAAGAAGGCTGCAAAAGCAGCAGCACGTGCAGAGGCCGCAAAGGTTGCAGCAGTCGATGCAGCAAGGCCTGCGAAGAGGAGAACAACTGAGGTGATCGAAGGCGACGAAGAAAATCCATGTCGTAACCAAAAAAAACAATCTTCTTCAACCTCATCATCATCGGTTGAAGACTGTGCGCCGCAGAACATTGAGGAGGATGAGGAAATGTCCCTGCAATCGGACGATAGCGGAGAGCCGGACGGGGATGAGTCGGAGGAGGACCTGTCGCAGGCGGAGTCTCACGGGGAGGAACAGTCCAGGGAGGAGGACGAGTAGCCCTTAGCGAATCAGTGTATTGAGGGTAGTGTGTCCTTGCTTGCTTTTGTGCTCCTAAAACTACAAACTTTGCAAACTCTGCTTTTGGGATACCGAGTCTGACACTTTTTTTGTTTTGAATCTTGTGATGTTTCTCATTTCTGCATGTGTTTGAAAAATGGACATGCTCCCACTCTGATTGCACGCACATGTGTGTGTGTGTGTGTGTGTTCTCCAACAAAACATAAAATAAATAAAAAACAATCATGCACAGTGTGTGTTTGCGTGTGCGTATGTGTGTGTGTGTGTGTGTGTGTGTGTGTGTGTGTTCTCCAACGAAATATTTAAAAAAAAAAAAAAAACAATCCTGAAGAGTGTATGTGTGGGTGTGTGGAGGTGTGTGTTGTCATATTCGCTATACACTCAAAAAAAGCACGACTGTACCAGACTGTTTCGTCAGACTTTCACCGACTCATCAGGAGGTTGAACCCCGACAGTCTGCCCAGGATGCATTTGACTGATGGATAAAGACTCACCACATCACCCAGAGTTAGCGATACCCCTGAGAAAAGTGGTCGGCTAGGGGTGTGTGTGTGTGTGTGTGTGTGCGTGTGCGTGTGTGTGTGTGTGTGTGTGTGCTCCAATGCAACATAAAAATACAATATAAAAAATATATGATGTGCGCACCTTGAGCATATGCGGCCCGCCAGCTCGCACCCCCCAGCGCACCCACGCGCAGCGCACCGCGCACCGTGCACCTGGCTGCGCGGTGTGCGCGCACCTTGGGTCCGCGCACCGCGCAGTGGACAGGGCCGATGCGCCCCAAGTATGGGATATAGGGATGAGGCAGGTAGGGGTGGGCTACTGAAAGGCTCTAAGGCAGGTATTTCTCGATCTGAATGTTCTTCCAAAAAATAAAAGGGCCCTTTGCATTTAGTACTGTATAGATGTCTGTTTTCTTCTATTAGCCCCTTCGAGGCTGTTTTCATTAGTACTTGGTCTTCTTAAAAAGCTTTCTCAAATTTTCTCAAAAAAAGCTTTCCTTGTTCTGGGGCAATCAATGCTGGCAGGGGGAGGTCTTCTTAAAAAGCTTTCTCAAATTTTCTCAAAAAAAGACCCTTGAGAATGCTTTAGGATTCTGGGTACTCCTTGCAACTCATTTTAGGCATCTTTGATGCTGTCATATTCATGGACCTGCGGTTTTTCGATGCCAGAATGATGCTGGCCTGTGCTGGGGGGTTGCCCTGTCACCTGTTGATAGCAGGAGCGTGAGGCCTGGTAGAGAGATCTGGGGATGCCTTGGGCCGGGCATTCCAAGGGAAAACCAAGGGTTGCTGTCGGGACGACGCTGGCCGGAGCTGGGGTGAGTCGTGTTGCCCTGTAACCTAGCAGGGTGGGGGCATGAGGCCTGGGAGAGCTCGGCAGGGAATTAGACAGTGTTAGAGAATTTTAGAGTGTTTTGTCGGGGAGTTCAGGGGTTCTGAGCATTCGAAGGACTTTTGTGGTAAATGCTGCTTGGGTAGCCTAACAATAGGTCAACAGTTATCCACGTTTTCCTGAATTTGTTTCATAGTTTTTAGATTGTTCTTAGCCGAAGCCAGGTAATGGCCCTGGTATTCCAAATCATTTGTATATTCTATATGGGACACTGGGCCCGGTTCCCAGCACGTGTTGCTCCCCACGAATAGATTGGAGCATTTGTCCCAAAAAAAAAAAAAAAAAAAAAAAAAAGAGACCCAGCTCTATAGAAGGACCATACAAACTTAGACGTAGGCACGAAAGAGCCCCAGGCAGCCGGCAGTCGCGGAGACAAGTCACAACTTACTAGGAAGCTTTAGGAAAGTGAGAACAACACAGGTGGAAGCAGAAGGAAGATATGCAAGAAAAATAGGCTAAGGTCATCATCGACTACCGTCTTCACCCGAATAGAACGCCCGGTTATTATTGCCGTATCTGGACTGAAAGTTGCACCAAATGCATCCCAGTACTGCAGGAGACCAGAGCAAACAGCCTGAAGCGCGAGTAGACTCCCCAGGTAGAAGGCAATAGCCAGGTGTAACATCCACATAAACACCAAACTATAGGAAGGGGAGTCCAAGCTCAGGTAAAGACAGTTAAAGGACAGGCATCAGCAGGCTGCAGGACCAAACTGTAACACAGCAGGCCAACTTGGGCAGGGGTGAGGGGATACTATCTCTGTAGTCCTCCAGAGGCCTGTTTATTTAAACAAACTGTGCCCCCATTTCTATTCTATTTCAATTAACGCATACCATAATACATAATAAGAAAGATGGCCGGCGGGTAAGCACGTAGATGGCGAGCCTAGGCCGAATAGAGATGGGCTGCACAGAGGTCGTTTTATTTATCAGGTCAACCAGCGACCATGCACACCGCTACCTATAGAGGAGGAGGCCTTTCTTATCTGAGAATGATGGTCAACTCTTCTTTAAGCACAGCGTAAGCGAATTCCACTGTGTCAGGCACGCCACAAAGGTTACTCAGGTTGCAGAGCCGTGCGATGGGCGACCATGTCGCACGGTTCAGAGAGTACTTGTTACGGCTGAATAGACCGTTTTACTACAGTCTATCAGTTCATGTGAAAGTTATCAATGCCGCCCACTCCGATCTCTCAGCCATAATGGAGAGAAGCGCTGGAGTTGATTTCCATTGTACGTTTTATGACTTGCCGGTGGAATAGGAACCGTACTGATGCTCTGTGGAAGGAGGTCTTCCCAGCAAGGGTCAGAGACCCTACTACAAGGGAGGAGGTATTAAGACAACCGATTTTCTGCAATAATTGCATTAGGGACGGCGACGGAAAACCTCTAACACTCACGAGCAAGGATTCGAGATGGGGCAGATGGGTGGAGCATGGGATATGGCAGATCAAACATATTYGGGATGATGAGAACAAGCGGTGGAAAACAGCAGGTGAACTGAGGAGAGCATTGAAGGGGTGCCACAATCTTCAGGACAATCTGAGAACAGTCACAGACTCCATACACCCAACCTGGGTACTATTGCTGAGAGAGGGAAAGCAATGGCGAGAGGGGGATTGGGCCACATGGGAGGAGGATCCGGAACCTAAACAGGTCTTCAGGGTGTGGGACACAGACAAAGATAGGAATGAATGGCTAGTAGCTGATAAATACGACATAAAACAGCCGAGCAGTACCACTTCCCAACTGGACAAGTCCYCCAAAGCACCATTGTATATTCTCAAACAAGGGTTACAGAAGGTAAGAGTGATAGAGATGGATGATTATACAGTATACAGTTCAACAGTACCAATCGAGGATCTAGAGGTCGATCYTGGAGAATGGGCCTGGAACATTAGAGATGGACAGTCAAGAGTAGCAAGAAGAATCAACATTCTCCAATATACCACAAAAATGGGGTATAGACTGAGGAACAGATCCAGGTCCATGGGACACACTCTGACCAAACGATGGGAGAAGAAAGTAGGGATCCCCAGGAGCCTAATGCCTGACATACCGTGAGCAGACGAGCGGCCGCAAGGTGGTTGATCGGTGCGCGCGAAGTAGGGAGCAAGTGAGAGCGGGGACACAGCAGAAGCGGGCGATCACGAGCAAGGGCGCGCGGAGCTGTGGGCGACCACCCTTACGAACGGGCGAAGCCACCGGGCGGAGCCACCGCCAGAGCGTGCACGCGGGGAATGAGCTGCGCGCGGGAAACGCAAGAGAAACGAGCCGCGCGCGCACACGCTGGAGAGAGAGAGAGTTGCGCAAAGCAGCGGAGCCGCGCGAAGAGAGGAGGAGCTGCGGCGCAGAGGGGGAGAGGGAGAGAGAGAGAGAGAGGGAGAGCGAGAGAATGAGGGAGGAGCGTGGATCTGCGCATGAGCACGCGCGTGGGACAGAGAGAAAGAGTGGGGGGCAATCAGCATACGCACCTGGCCGGGTTCGTACTCCAGGTTCACTCGGTTCCCGAGGGAGAAAGCGAGCGTGAAGGGAGGAGCTTTCGCACGAAGAAGTTGTTCGTGCGGGAGAGGAGGAGTTGCGTGGGCTATGAGCGCGTGCAAGAAAGAGAAAGGGTGAGAGAGAGAGTGGGAGAGGGAGTGCAGAGGAGGGGATTGGAGAGTGCATGCATCTAGCCCCTCCCGCGGTCCAGATTCACGTGCTTTACTGATGTTCGTGCGGTACCAGAATGTGAGCGCAGGCGGCAGAAGAAACGCGCAGCGAAGGGCTGCGCAAACGGGAGAGAAGGTTGCACAGGTGACGATCGGGCAACGAAGAGCTGCACATTCGGTGGGCGAGGCCGCGACAGTCGAGGAAGTATGGATCTGCGCACGCTATGTGTGTGAGTGTGTGTGTGTGTGTGTGTGTGTGTGTGTGTGTGTGTGTGTGTGTGTG